CGTACGGCGCATGAAAGAGCAAGACAATGTTCCGACAAAGCGCCCTCTCATTACCCATAGAGCATTAATAGTGTGTCGAAGCCGGGGCGCGTGTTCTTTACCTAGTTGATTAGGATCGGTTACACTTTTACCCAGTCGAGAAGGACAGTACAACTAAATGAGACTGGACTCCCGATTTCATCGTTATAGGCTCATGCCAACACTTCGTTCAGGAGTGTTGCCTTCGCTCTCCAATAATAACCAATGTTTCACCTTCGCAACTCTTGAGTGCGAAATTGTGCCAACATCAGCCATTCCAGCCATGTGCTGGCAACCAGCTCCTCCCAGATACGCAGCGCGCGTCACTGGCCGAGACCTGTGAATTCCACTATCACAAGCCACTACAATACCATACTAGAAAGTGAACAACATCCCAACGCTAGGCGGCGTCCGCCTTGCAACGGACGGCGCTCAACATACACACCCCATATATAATAATGGGACCGCGACTCCCCACTCTCATGCCCATACAGTTTTCCGCTACGAATGGAGCCTTCCCAAACCATTAATATCAACCCCGGCTTTGGGTTTCGAGGCATGTACCCCCCCTCTGTACTCTACATACAGTCATTTCACATATGTGCTGCGACACCTACACAAGGCACCCTCAAACTCAGGCATCACCATCCTGACAGGTGTAGTCGGCTCCCCGGTCTGCGCTCGGACCATCAGAGGCGTGAAGAGCTGTGTTGTGGCGCTACCACACCTCCCGTCGGGCGCCCTCATGCCGCGGGTCGACCGCGGTCACAGGCCGGCGCTTTTGGACGGCGGCCCGCGACAGGACAACCCACAGGAGAAACGCTCCTGATGCATCAGAGCATGACTACAAACGAAAGAAAGAAGTAAGTCCACGGGATCGTCAGGAACGGATCACACCGGCACAAATAAGCCAAGGACCTCACGGTTACAGTCGTTACATACCTAAATGTTGAGGTGGATACAGAGCTCCGCTTACTCCCCTGTGTATCACAGAAGTCACAGCACGAAAGGTAAACCCGCGACCGAGAGCCCACGGCTAAATTCACTCTGTTTTTCAGCCCCCGCGCGCCACCCCTCCCCTCAACAACGCAGGCATCAGTGCCTGCTGGAGATTCACCGCCCCTGCGTTTGTCAGCCTGAGCAGTGACCCACTCTCCATCGTCCGGTACAATAGAACATCTAATCGCCAACCTGAGAAGGAACATCATATCTGAACCAAAGAAAGCTTTCATATCCCAAAGTTTGATTCCACCCGTAATCAAGCCAGTGTGAATCACCAGGCGCACCTCTCCTGCTTGAACAACCCTCCCCACATTTTCAGCAAATCACTCACCTCCCCTCACCCCCCGCAAATGCAGTCCTACATCAGATTCTGAAAGCATTACCCACCTTTGAATGACCGAAGGACAAGACCCAGCGCGCCCTCCATCCACGTACACCCGCCCCCCGACCGCCCCACGATCAAGTGCAAGTGCCAGAGCCGAGTTCATTGCACCACCCCCTCGGCGCGCCCCGCGAGAGTTGACTTCCTGTAATCATCACCTATGCAACTGTAAGAAAATTTTCCATCACAGGCTGCTCATTATTCTATTGGCTACACCAGACAGAACTCCACCGTTTATGGCCTCCTTATCTTCTCTTTGTTTCATTTAGTGGTAATAGCAATCTCGTCCCGCTGAGCGTCTGAGTTAATGTAGATGAGTTCTAACGACACCTTGCCTCCCATAATTGACGAAATAAAACCCTCTTTAGAGCTGAGGATTATAAGTTCTTGAGGAATGAGAAAACACTTCATTAGGGGGGGGGGGCAAGGGACGGGGGGGTAGGGGGTCACCTCCATAACATTATTCTCTCGCGCAAATTGAGGTCGTCCTAGAGCAGGGCGTCGCGTGGCGGGCCCCGAGAAGGTTTATGGTGCCTCTAACAAACGCTGCCAGTGATTTGGAAGTTTGTTGTTCAAACACGGAATAGATAACTTTCAACTTTACTTAAACAAAACTGCATTTTAATAATATAATGATAATGTACAGTACAATGTACCGCTACAAACTGGGTCCTCTTCCTCATTTCTGCCTTCCTGTTGCTGCCTGAAGTGTTTCTCTCGAGTCAGGTCTGGTTGAGAGCTGTGGAGGATAACAGTACAGGAGTGGATATGGAACCCCTTATAACCCTTAAAGGAATAGTTTTGAAAATATGGTGCCTCAAATGATGAAGCTTAGCTTAGCATAGAACTATGTCAAACATTCATCACTCTATAACTCACTAGATCAACTGTAACATTTACCCAAAAAAAGAAAAAGGAGAGTTGTGGTTTTACAGGGAGTTTTGGTGCTCTGATTTTTTGGAAGAACAGAGGGCAGTGACTTTCTGGAGACATCCAGAGGTTGCGGGCAAAAGCAGAGTTGCTATAATATGATCACATTATTCTCCTGGTCTTAAAGGGTTAAGAGACACGTTAACTGAAACGATATATTATCAGTATCCCATGATCCATCCACAATGGTAAGCCATCTCTCAATACTTTCTCACTTCCCTAACCTGCCCATGGCTCTCAGTCCAGCTGACAAATATATTGTTGTATTTTTAACACCTCAGTAATTTCCTGGCTGGTAATACACTGGTCATTGTAGTCTTTATCAAAAAGGAGGAAGTAGTGCATTTGTTGGGACTATTTCAGCGTCAGATTCCACATTGGGCTCTAGGAGGTATTTTAGCGCAGGAGGTGTATGTGAGTCAAAAAACTACGTGTGTGTGTTCATGGTATGAGGACATGTACCTCTGATGTGCTTTATTGTTTAGACACAGGAGCTCTATGGCACGAGGATAGAGATTATCAGGGTTGGATACAAGAAATGCTTGTTAGTAAGATACATTCATGATTTGTATTGACAGTTAATAATACATTCAAATGAAAAATAACATTCTCAGTAGCTAAACTGTTTAGACCAGTACTCTAAGATAGTGGGCATGAGTGGGGGGCGAAGGTAAAAAGAAAAAACGAGAGACGTCAGAGAAGAACAGCAAGTCGGTACCGCCAGAAACTAATAGAGCAGGAAATAGGACGAAAGCCTACAGCCCTGGGTTACGTGAATACGTCGAAATGAGGAAGACCTGTGTGTGTTTTATGTTTAAAAACTCTTAGTGAGCGCGGGCACAGTAAATAGAAAACGCACCGTTAGCCTCGTACAAACACCGCACA